ATCTCGGCGGCAGTCACGGACCCAGACATGCGACAGCTTGATCTTTTCGATACGCGGTCCCCAGAAGTCTGGACCCTCTCCCCAGGGCCGACTTCTCATCCTGAACTGGCTCTTGACGGTCCCCAGGCCCGGCGAGGACGCCCCGAGGCCGAAAACTTCCAAAAACGTGTCGTCGTGATTTCTGTTCCAAGCCCCTGCAAACGGGGCGCTTGTAAACGAGGGGTTAGCCAAGGGTACGTCTTCACTTGTGCCTTCGAAAAATGGTTTGCCGCGCGCAGGTGCGAGGTAATCCCCCCCGCCCAGAGTTATGCTGACGTATCGACGATTTTGTCGTCCCGATCTATCACGCACTAGTGCGGGGCAAATGCCCTGTCACCCTGTACTCTGTCGTAGAGGCCCCTTAGCAAATTACCACCCCGTTCACTAACACCACGCTTGCAGGGGCTTGGCTATTCACGATATAGATGAATTGTGTATGCCGAGCCCCGGAAGCCGGAGCGCACGACATAGAAGTGGCCCAAGGCTGGCCACCCCTCCTGCAATGAAACACTGGCCGGCTCTTCTTGGAAGAGCGCGCCACCTGGGGCCGGAACCACCCTTTCCACCTCCGCCACCTCCTCCTCGCCTTCGCCCTCCTACCTTTAAGTCGGGCCTGTCCTCCTATAGGGGGGTTTTGGGAAGAAAAATTGAAAACTGTTTTTACATACATATATATATGTGTGTATAACTGTATATATATAGCTATATATCTATAGGTACCCTACATGGTCAAACAAATATTCAAAAAACGTCCCAGACTATGTTTTACAATATTTGAATATCCCTCCTGTAGAGGGACAGGCTCGACTTAATCCGAGCGCCCGGGGGAGCTTCGAGGTGCGGCGACTGCCCTGGGGCGCACGGCTCCCCCGCCGCGGCGCCCCGCAGAGGGGGGGCCGACGGGCGGGCCGACGCAGCCAGCCAGCGCCCCGCGATGGCCCCGCAGCCAGCGAGCGAGCCTGCGCCCTCCGACTGACGCCCTCCGCCCAGCGCGGGAGGCCCAGGCAGCACGGGTGCTGGCCGTCCTCGAGTCGAGAGCCCAGGCTCAGGTCAGGCATGTCCTCCTACAGGCGGAGCTCGGAGGAGAACTGCTGAATTGGCCTGACGAAGGACCCCACCACATGCAGCTGCGAGTACCGCATTGCGGGTACCGCTTTCGGTGGAGCTCCCTGTGGGGCCACGAGCCGCGTAAGGGGTGTGCCAAAATGGGTGGCGGTCCCCGCGTGCGGCCTGTGCCGCTGGGGCCTTCGGTGGAGCTCCCTGTGGGGCCACGAACCCTGTGAGGGGTGTGCCAAAATGGGTGGCGGTCCCCGCGTGCGGCCTGTGCCACTGGGGCCTTCGGTGGAGCTCCCTGTGGGTCCACGAGCCGTGTGAGAGGGGTGCCAAAATGGAAGGGGTCCCCGCATGCGGCCTGTGCCACTGGGGCCTTCGGTGGAGCTCCCTGTGGGTCCAAGAACAGTGTGAAAGGTGTGCCAAAAGGGGTGCGGTCCCCGCATGCGGCCTGTGCCACTGGGGCCTTCGGTGAACGTGTAAGGGGTGTGCCAAAATGGGTGGCGGTCCCGGCATGCGGCCTGTGCCACTGGGGCCTTCGGTGGAACTCTCTGTGGGGCCACGAACCGCGTGAGGGGTGTGCCAAAATGGGTGGCGGTCCCCGCATGCGGCCTGTGCCGCTGGGGCCTTCGGTGGAGCTCCCTGTGGGGCCACGAAACGTGTAAGGGGTGTGCCAAAATGGGTGGCGGTCCCGGCATGCGGCCTGTGCCACTGGGGCCTTCGGTGGAGCTCCCTGTGGGGCCACGAACCGTGTGAGGGGTGTACCAAAATGGGCGCGGTCCCCGCATGCGGCCTGTGCCATTGGGGCCTTCGGTGGAGCTCCCTGTGGGGCCACGAACCGCGTGAGGGGTGTGCCAAAATGGGTGAGGATGCTGATGGTGACGATGATGATGATGATGATGATGATGATGATGATGATGATGATGATGATGATGATGATGATGATGATGATGATGATGATGATGATGATGATGATGATGAGGATGAGGAGGAGGAGGAGGAGGAGGAGGAGGAGGAGGAGCCGGAGGAGGAGGAGGAGGAGGAGGAGGAGGTGACGCGGGGCGCTGTCTCTTCAAAACGAGGACCCAACACCACAGCAAGGTAGGGAAAAATATGCCATAACAAATGGGCAAAAATATTCAAACATTATGCAAAAATGTAATCGTAAAATCGTCCCCAGACTATATTTTGGCTATTTGTTATACTGCTCCTGTAGAGGGACATGCCCGACTTAAGCCCAGGCACGTCCGAGGAGGACGTGGGCTCCGTCCTCCGTTCGGCGGCGAGCGAGGGGGGGAAGTGAGAAGGAGAAGGCCTTCTCGGGAGGCGGCGGGACTTCTCAGGCGCCATCTCGCGCCTTCTGAGAGGTGCGTAACGGTTTTCGGGGAAGGCTTCGAAAACTTCTCAAGGGCTGGGTGACTTCCGAGCCTTCTGAGAAGGCCCGCCCCTTTTCCCTTCCCCCCGTGGCTCGCCGCCAATCCGTGGCGTCCGAGCCTCCCGACATCCCGATTTTCCCGTGGGCCCCTGGAACGACCTGCCCCATGCCGGCTCGTCGCCGCAAGGTCAGCCCCGGTGCCCCGGAAAGCGGGCCCCGGACGCCGAAGCAGCGGGAACTCGTCGGTGTCGCGCTCGTCGGTCTGCCGTCGTCGTCGTCGTCGTCGCCGTCGCCGCCGCCGCGGCCGTCGCCGTCGCCGTCGTCATCGTCGCTGTCGCCGTCGCCGCCGCCGCCGCCGCCGTCGCCGTCGCCGCAGCCGCCGCCGTCGCCGTCGCCGTCGCCATCGCCGTGGCCGCAGCCGCCGCTGTCGTCGTCGCCGCCGTCGCCGCCGCCGTCGTCGCCGCCGTCGTCGCCGCCGTCGCCATCGTCACTGTGGTCCTCGTCGTCGTCCGCAAGTTGTGGTATTTTTTTTTCCTGGGGCGGCCAAGGGCGCCAGCTGCGCGCGCTGATCACAGCCTCGCCCCTGGCGGCGACGTGGCCCACGATGCCAGACCTCCCTGCTCCGAGCTGGGGAGGAGGAGGAAGAGGAGCAGGAGGAGGAGGAGGAGGAGGAGGAGGAGGAGGAGGAGGAAAGGAGGAGGAGGAGGAGGAGGAGCAGGGGAACCAGGAGGAGGATAAGGAACACAAACAGGAAAAGGACAAGGAGGACCAGCGAGGGAGGAGGACGAGGACAAGGACGAGGATGAGGAGGAGGCGGGTGCAGGGCACAGAGGATCGAGGCTTCTGCGCGTCTCTCTTTGGCCCAGTTTGAGCCTCTGGAGGCCTCTGGAGGCCTCCGGGCACCGCTTGACAGCGAAAGCCTCCGGGCCCCTCCCGGGACCTCTGATCCGGGGGAGAGGCCGCCGCCGTCGCCCCGCGTCGTGGCCGTCGCCGCCCGAGAGCCTGGCCCCCACGCCCAGAGATCCGAGGCCCCTCCTCCTCCTCCTCCTCCTCCTCCTCCTCCTCCTCCTCCTCCTCCTCCCCTCCTCCTTATCCTCCTCCTCCTCCTCCTCCTCCTCCTCCTCCTCCTCCTCCTCCTCCTCCTCCTCCTCCTCCTCCTCCTCCCCTCCTCCTCCTCCTCCTCCTCCTCCTCCTCCTCCTCCTCCTCCTCCTCCTCCTCCTCCTCCTCCTCCTCTCCTCTCCTCCTCCTCCTCCTCCTCCTCCTCCTCCTCCTCCTCCTCCTCCTCCTCCTCCTCCTCCTCCTTCTCCTCCTCCTCCTGCGAGGCCAATTTGTATACACCACGACCGCCCGCACCAGTAATTTGCGGCAAAAAGGGTTAGGGGCAGGGTCATGCCAGACGACGCTGCGACGCCACGGCGAAAAGGAGCGCGGCGCAGCTCGCAGGCGCCGTGGCATAGGGAGTTCCTGAAGCAGAAACAGCACTTCTTGGTGGTGGTGTATAAGAATCGCTCCCCCTGGTAACCAAAATTAGATACACCACCACCGCGCGTGCTTTGATGAATTCTGTTTCGGTCCTTAAGAGAGAGGGGGCAGCCCGGTTGCCGCTGGCGGCGGGAGGGGGACTGCTGGCTTTTCACCAGAGCAAAACTGCACCACATCGCATCGTAAATTATTCTCGATCTTGGTGGTGGTAGTCATATACAGTGCTCGGATCCTCCTCCTCCTCCTCCTCCTCCTCCTCCCTCCTCCTCCTCCTCCTCCTCCTCCTCCTCCTCCTCCTCCTCCTCCTCCTCCTCCTCCTCCTCCTCCTCCTCCTCCTCCTCCTCCTCCTCCTCCTCCTCCTCCTCCTCCTCCCCGGGGGGCCCAGACCTCCAGGCGTCGCGACGGGATCGTGACGGGCGGCTTGCCTCACGCTTCGACCTCCCGGCGCCGCCTTCGGAACCCGGGCCCGTCGAGCACGACCTGGGCCGAGGGGCCCCGAACCCGCAGACGGGGTCGCGAGGTCTGGGGGGAGGCCACGACGCTGGCAGAGGCCTGGGCCCTCCCTGCCCTCAGCTTCGGACGCTGTGGCACAAAAAAAACATGGACATGTTCGCTCTGGTTCCAGGCGCTGGGACCCTCGCGGGTGGGTCCTTGTTGAAGGATGTCACAGAAAAATGATCCGAGGGCTTCGGCCGCGATTTTTTCCGGGCGTGCTGACTTCTCTCACGAAGGGGAATATCGGGGAAGGTCTACTGCCAGAAAGCTGGGAAACACACGCGGCAGGATTCACTTGAAGAACATATGCATGCCACGGGCTGGGATTTCAACTATACACGTGCGGAGGGTACCGTGCCCAGCCAACGGCGGTTCGAGACCTGGAAAATGGACCCAGCGCGACCCCAGTTAGGGGAAGTAGGGGAAAGCTTCCTATTGCATCTTGGCAGTGCTTGGCAGTGCTTGGCAGTGCTTGGTAGTGCTTGGCAGTGCTTGGCATTGCTTGGCATTGCTTGGCATTGCTTGGCATTGCTTGACGGGGAACACGAGGAACACGAAGAAGCCCGAGGAAGCCGAGGAAGAGGAACCCGAGAAACCTCTGGAACGGGCAAAGTAGCACCCTGAGACACCAATCCTTAACCAAGTAAGAACCCCTGAGGCAAGCCTGAAGGAAAAAATCTGAAATAAATCCCAAAACATCCAAATTCCACCCAGCCCAGCCACATCCGATGCCTTCAGCATCCTTGATCTACAAGCCTATGAAACATAATCGCTGGTTCAGAGGGCAGAGACGGCCCGACGCATGCCCACGGTTGGAGGCGACGGCCTTCGCGAACGATCCTCGCGGCAAGGACAGCAGCCCCTCGCCCTCGCATGCCGCACCAATTTCAGCCGAGGACCGCCTGTCTCGCAGTGCGGCCTGGGGGTGCTGTGTGATGACGACGCAAGCCGTAGCTCGACGCTGATGACAACCATGGACATCCGAAGTGACCCGCCTTGTCGGACTAACGCCTGCAGCACCTTTTTCCGTCGGCGGCGAGGCAGAGGTATCCTGCACCAGCGGTCAAGCAAGTCGAGGCGGCCGAAGCGCGACTTGCCCAGCATGCAAGAGGAGGGACTGAGACAGACAGAGCGGCCGCGGAGGCGGGGGAGAAGGAGGGGAGCACTCAGAGGTGGAAGACTTCCATCCCGAGCGCGCTGGCGCGGCCAGCACTGGCAGCGGCCGACTGCAGCACACATAATGGGGTTTGGCAGCGTTGTCAGGTCGCGCCAGCTCCGGAATGACGATCGGGCGGACTTCGAGGTTCCTCCCTGACGAACGAAGCGCTGCACAGCTTCTCGGGGGGATGCAGCTGTCCAGGTTCTCGGGGAGAAAGTGAAGGCTTCGGTGGAACTCATAGGAGTATCCCATACCATCCTATCCGCTATTGCGAATCGACTCTAATCGACGCTAGTCGACGCTAGTCGACGCTAATCGACGCTAGTCGGCACTAAATCGACGCTAATCGACGCTGAATCGACGCTAATCGGCGCTATCTCATCGACTCCCCGACGCTGGTCGACGCCAAAGACGGAATGAAGAGTGTATACCAGGCTCCTATGACTTGCGACCGAAGAAAAACGATTACGCGCATTCCCGGGGCCTGCTTCACTAGGCAAGCGCGTTCCACTACTCGCAAAGTAACTACTCGCAAACAGCATCGATCCACCGCGGGGGATTCACGATAGATTACACTGAGGCGAACACATATTTCTCGAACATTTGCGAGTAGTGGAGTGCGCTCGGTGATTCACGGGGCCCTCGGTACGCGGCTGCGTGTGGTCGTGCTTTCTCGCTCACCTGTGCGCGAGCGTGCCGGCCGAGTCTGCTTTGCGCCACCCTGTCGGCATCAATCGTGGGGCACTGACAACAGCACACAACCACTGACCTCCCCTCCTGCGCCTCCTCCTTCATCCATCCCGCCTCTCATGGAAGAAGAAAAAAGAAATTCCGATACACAGCTCCTGGACAGGCCCGTCCTGGAACCAGGATCCGTGCATGCATTCTGCTGGCTTGGCCAGGGAGGCATGTGAACCGATCCTGGGCTCAAGATGGGCCTGGCCTGGACCTGGTGTTCACGGCGACAACGAAGCCGAAAACCGACCGAACCGACAGCAAAACCGAAACACACCGAACCCGACAGGCCGCAAGCGGCCTAGAAGGGCCCAGCGACGCAGCAACGACACAACCACCGACCGAACCGATCCGACCCAGCGCAACCGAATGCAACGCAGCCGAGCCGACCGAACCGCGGACACCATTGGTACGTGCATAGTTTTCGTCCCCCGATCTCCCTGCCCCAAGCGCCAGACCCCACGGGCACGCGGATCTCGGCGCCGGTGGAGTTGACCCTCGAGAAGAGCTCCTGGCGGCGTGGGGGCCGCCCAGGGGCGGCGCGCACCGTCGACCCACGGAACCTCGGCACGCACTCTCGTCGTCGTCGCTGTCGTCGTCCCTGCACCACCAGCAGATCTCCACGTCCACAGCCTCAGGGGTGCTGCCCAGAGCACCAGGGCAGGAGGGGAATGAGGAGGAGGAGGAGGAGGAGGAGGAGGAGGAGGAGGAGGAGGAGGAGAAAGAGGAAGAGGAGAGGAGGAGGAGGAGGAGGAGGAGGAGGAGGAGGGAGGAGGAGGAAGAGAGGAGGAGGAGGAGGAGAAGGAGGAGGAGGAGGAGCAGCAGGAGGAGGAGGAGAGGGAGGAGGGAGGCGGAGGAGGATGAGGAGGAGGAGGAGGAGGCAGCAACAGCAGCGGCGTTGTCGTCGTGCACGCCGCGGGGCGGCCGCGGCGCACGCGGAGGCACGGCGGGCCAGCGCGGCCAGCGCGGCGGGGGCGAGCGAGGGCACCCGCCTGACGGGGCGCGTCCACGAGGAACACGGAGGCGACCTCGGCGCCCACGATGGCCTGGCGTGCACGCGCGGAGGTCGGGGACGGCCCGGCCCCGGCCGCTGGCGCCGCGAGAGGGGGGGCACAGTACTCACACAAGCTAGGCGCCAGACCACCTGCAGCAGTAGTTGGCCTTTCGTGAGCGGTGTCTTCCCTGCTCATGGCAGCAGCTCAAGTTCATGGTTCGGCCCTTCCCCTCTCCACCATGCGGCCTGGGTGCGGAGGGCAGCTGTTGCTGCTGCCGGGGAGGAGGGTGGAGAATCGGCGGCAGGAGAAGGGTGGGGAAGTGAGATGGGGCGGGATTTTCAAGGAGCCGAACGCTAAACACCGACGCTGTTTCTGGCCCCGCACTGAAACTCGCAAAGGAAAGCGGATCCTGGTGTATGCGAGACCTTGGTGTATACATTTGTCGTTGTTTCCCCCGGAACACGGAGAACAACATATACACCACACCACCCTAACGTCTTCCCCGACCATCAAAAAGTATGGGATTGAAAAACAACCAGCCACTGGTAATGCAGATGTTCCAGTTTCCGACTTCTCAGAGGGCTCGGAAGTCCCCTGGCCTCCTGAGGAGTTTCCTGAGCCTTCCCCGAAGGCGCAGAAAACTTCTTCTCAGAAGGCGCGAGGGTTTCCGAGAAGTCCCGCCGCTTTCTGAGAAGGCCTCCTCCTTTTCACTTCCCCCCCTCGTTCGCCGCCGAGAGAAGGCGGCGGCGGGAGGGGGTGACGGAGCAACTCGCCACGTAGAATCGTCTCTACCAGCGAGGCGTCGTGACCGAAACGTGCTTCCGAAGATCCGCCAAGGTGTGACCGAAGCTGGTGCCCAGAAATGTCCGACCGCGCCCGAGTGTGACCGAAACAGTTGGTTCGACAGCGAAACGATTTTCAATGTCACTCACAATTTCGATCACACTGCGTTTTCGGTCACACCTTCTGCACATGTTCGGTCACCGATATTGTTTGGTCACCTATCTTTTCGGCTGATAGGGGCCGGGTGCCATGAAACTCGGCTCATCACACTCCCAGTCTGCCACAGCAGAGAACAGAAGCGGCGGCAGTTGTCCTCCTCTCACTCCTCATTGTCCGTTTCCTCCTCCTTCTCCTCCTCCTCCTCCTCCACCTCCTCATCATCCTCCTTTTCCTGCTGCTGCTGCTGCTGCTGCTCCTGCTCCTGCTGCTGCTCCTGCTGCTGCTGCTGCTGCTGCCGCAGCCCCAGCACCCGCCCAACGTTGGGGCGGATGTCCACTGGGGCAGGCGCGCGAGGACCGCCCGTCCACGTCCGACTGCCATCGCGCCTCTTCGGGGCCGTGCAGATGTATCACGGAACACCCTTCTTCAGCCTTCTCTGTATCATGTGTGAGAACGATTCGGAAACAAGCTCCGGCCTATTAGCGCCTACTAGTGTCGACCGAATGTTCCTACCAGCACCGCCCATGAGCAACCACTAATCAGCAGCAGTAAGCGCAAATAGCCAGGGAAGACAACAGTTCATGCCAAAGATGATTCTCACGCAGAACACACATCTAATCCCACCAGAAATTTGGGCATATGTGGTCTAACGAGTTCTTCTGTTCTTCTTCCAAGAGTATATCCCCTTCGGGAAAAGGTACCCTCCGCCTCCCCTCCAGGGGTCTGGACGGGGGGGGACGGAGGGGATCGAGCGCCCACGAAGGCCCAAGATGGCTCCAAGTGGGCTACCGATGCTCCAAGATGGCCTCCAAGATGGCTCAAGATAGCCCAAGGTGGCTCAAGATGACTTCCAGTATGCTCCAAAAGGCCCCAAATACTGCTTCAAGGCGATTCCAAGTGCTCTCGGAGCCCCATCAGGAGCCCCCCCCCAAGAAGCCAAAATACTTCAAACCCCAAATGAAAATAAGTATTGCGTGCCGTCTCCCAGTTTCGCTTCCGCTGCGCTTTTGAGGCCCCAAGACTGCCCCAAGATGGCCCAAAATAATCCCAAGAAGGGCCCAAGAGCGCCCAAGGCCCAAGACCGCCCCAAGAGGCGAGGTTGATGGCCCCAGGAAAAGCAAATCGAGGACCCTCCATTGATCGATAACCTCCTAGATGGCCCCAAGAGGCCCTGCAGGGATCACAGGGACGGCCCCAAGAGGGCCCCCAAACGGCCCAAAGAGTGCCAAAGAGCGCCCGAAGAGCGCCCCACGAGGGCCCCAAGAGGCGGTTTGCCTTCTTCTCCTCCTTCTCCTCCTCCTCCTCCTCCTCCTCCTCCTCCTCCTCCTCCTCCTCCTCCTCCTCCTCCTCCTCCTCCTCCTCCTCCTCCTCCTCCTCCTCCTCCTCCTCTTCCCCCTCCTCCTTCACCACCTCCTCCTCCTCCTCACCCCCGCGCCTCCCCGCGGACCCCAGGGATGGCCCAAGGCCACCATCTTGCTCCAAGACATCTCTCTGTTCATCCTGACTGATTGCCCGCTGTGTTACACTAGATGTGTCTCCGCTTTCCTTTCCTTGTCAGCTCTCATGGGCAGGGTTTCTAAACGGGCCGACAGCAGCGAAACGGGGGGGGCGGCGGTCTGCACGGAAGCGCAAAGAACGACCGAGCGAAGCAACGCACGACGAGGAGACGAGGGCAATTATCATACAAAGAACCCTGTCGTAACAGTATTGGGGCTGGCCAGCAGACCGAAGGAAGCAGCAGGAGGCGAGGGGCGCTAGTGGATGAGGAGCGCGGGCGCGGCCAAGAGGGCCACGCTGCCGCGCTGGAGCGTCTCCGCCAGATGCTGGTAACACCCGTCGATGACAGACGACCGGTCGCGCTCCGAAAGGCCACTGGCGAAGGCCTCTGAACACATGGTACTTGCGTCTCTTCTTGCTGTACTCACGCCCAATGAGCACCCCAGCCCCGTACTAGCGCGCCTCCTGAGAGTGCCTTGATATGCTGTGTCGCTACGGCGACGTCCAGGCAATGCCGCACCAACCGCTCGTCGTAGTAGTCGATGTCTGGCTGGCGCTCGTCTGGGAGCTCACCTGGCTGATGCTGTTGAACAGGAACACCCATGTGCTTGGTGACCATGCCCCCCTGAACGTGCCCTGGCCGCTTCGCATGGACGTCCAAATACATCTGATGTCGGCTGGCGGTGACGAACCCATGATCGTCAGACAGTGGTGTGGTAGCGTGGGGACTCCCATCCAAGAGCCACACCACTGCCACTGGACTCCAAAATGGTTGCAACGCGCTCCTCAGTGGCACCGCTACGGATATCCAAGATTGTGCGAGAAACCTCTTCGGAGCGCCATCTTGGATGCGGCGCCGGCCGAGCCCAAGAGCAGGACGTCGTTCATGCCACTTGGTAGGTCTATTCCCTGCGCCGACATGTTGGCGACGACGCCTTGGAGGCAGGCTACGCGGGTAGGCGCTTTGTCGAGTGGGGCGGAACCGGTGGCGAACCCCATAGACTCAGCGCTCTCGGTGGGGCCATACCTCCCAGCCACGGCACCAGCCACCGCGAAGGCCTCCACACCCAGGAGGTCGAAGATGCCGTCCAAGACTGCCGTGTCAAGCGCGGAACACTGAACCTCCGTGAGCGGCCGGCACTGCTGAAGGTAGACGACGTCGCTGGCGGTGGCCACCCGAGCAAGAGACACAGCGAGGAGGCGTGGCCAGCCCAGCCCACCTTTCTCCTCTATCTCATCATCATCATCATCATCATCATCATCATCATCATCATCATCATCATCATCATCATCATCATCGTCATCATCATCATCATGATCATGATCAGCATCATCATCATCACCACCACCATCATCATCATCACCATCACCATCACCATTACCATCATCATCATCATCATCATCATCATCATCATCATCATCACCAAAATCAGCAACACCATCGTCATCATCATCATCATCATCATCATCATCATCATCATCCTCATCCTCATCCTCATCCTCATCCTCATCCATCCTCATCCTCATCCTCATCCTCATCCTCATCCTTCTCCTCATCCGCATCCTCAGCATCGTCCTCCTCATCATCATCCTCATCATCATGAGAATTATAATCCTCCTCCTCACCCTCCTCCTCCTCCTCCTTCTCCTCCTCCTCCTCCTCGTGCTCCTCCTCCTCCTGCTCCTCCTCCTCCTCATCCTCCTCCTCATCATCCTCATCATCACCATCATCATCATCATCATCAGCATCAGCATCAGTGGCAGCATCTTCATCATCATCAGCATCATCATCGTTATCATCATCACCAGCAGCATCATCATAATGTCAGCATCCATCATCATCCTCAGCATCATCATCATCATCATCATCCATCAGAATCATCAACATCAGCATCGTCATCACCACCTCAGCCACCACCGCCACCACCATCATCATCACTGTCATCCTCATAAGTAGCATCAGCATCAGCATCATCATGATCACCGTCATCATCCTCGTCATCATCATCACCATCATCACCATCATCATCATGATCATCATCATCACCACCACCATCATGAGCATCAGCGTCAGCATCATCATCAGCAGCATCAGCAACACCATCATCACCAGCATCGTCATCATCACCATGCATGTCCTCCTCCTCCTCCTTCTCTTTCTCCTCTTCCTCCTACTTCCATGCTTTGTGCCAAGCGGCGCGCCACCAAATATAATCAGAGTGAGAATGTCCCATCTGCGAAGATTTGCACTTCATGTGTCGAGGGTGTTCGGCGCCACACCCTCCTCCCCCCACGATCCTTCCCAGTATCGTGCTCCTCCTTGCCCTCAGCCTCTTCCTCCTCCTCCTCCTCATCATCATCTTCCTCCTCCTCCTCGCTCCTCCTCTCCCGCCCAGTCCTCGCTCCTCCTCCCTCGCCCCTCCTCCACGCCCTCCCTGTGTCCCTCGTCATAATCGTCGCTGTCGGCGTCATCGTCATCATCCTGGTTCCCGCCAGAATCATACCTTCTCAAATCCTTAGCCCTGCCACCTCCCGTCCCCTTCCACCTCTACATATGTTTAGACTCGCTGTCACGATCGCCTCGGCGGCCCTGATTCTCCTCCACATCACATCTACCGCCAATCAATTCCCCTCCCACTGGCTATGACAGCCTTGGCTTCCTCCATTATCTGCTGCAGGATGCGCTCGGTGCTCAAGTCTGCATTCACCAATAGAGAGCACTGCATTAGCCTTCGGCGGAGGGGCAGAGGACCATTCAAAAGCGTGCGGCAAGGTGCGCAAGAGCGGGGCCGAAAGGCGGAGATGCTTTGAAGGCACGGGTAGAGATCCCCAATCCTCCCCATGCTCCTCCTCATGATCGTCAAAACCACCACCACCACCACCACCATCATCATCAGCAGCATCATCATCAGCAGCATCATCACCATGATCAGCAGCATCATCGTTATCACCATCACCATCAACATAAGCGTCATCAGCAGCAGCAACAACATCGCTACCACCATCACCACCGTCATCATCACCATCGTCGCCGTGTATATGTTCGAGACCTCTCCCTCTATCTCATATTATCCCTTATCCTTTTCGAAATCGTCGTCGTCATACCCCTCATGCCTCCTCCTCATCCGCGGTATCATCCTTCTCCTCCTCAGCATCATCATCATCATCATCATCATCACCATCATCACCATCATCACCATCATAATACTTACGCGGGTCGAAAGATTGTCCTCTTGAGCCCGAAATGTCGGAAGCGACGCGCCGTTCAGGTGAGCGGATACATGTAGCGCTCTCTTCGGCGTGAGTCGTGCCATATGTTATGGGAGGAGCTGCGGGAGTTGGCCGAGCCCGCTGTAGACCCCCCTGCCCCATAGAATCATAGCTTTGGTCAGCAGGTCCACAGTTCCATGGACAGCATGATGCTTCACGTGCGGTGCCCCGCGGATCCCAGTCCCCGTGGGTCCGGGACGTTGATTATTATTACTTGTGGGTCCATTGGTTTTTCATACACGGGAAATTGTATTCGAGCAAGACAGATATAGGATCCACGACACTGTCGCACACCCGAAAAAAGATTCAATTGGATCCATCGGTGTTTTCATGTTTTTAGTCCAAGAATATAAAACTGTCGGCCTGGGGATGTAATCATCATCATCATCATCATCATCATCATCATCATCATCATCATCATCATCATCATCATCACCATCATTTTAATCATCGTCATCATCATCAGCAGCATCAGCATCACCATTGTCACCAGCATCACCATCATCAGCAACAACATCATTATCATCATCATGAGTAGCACCATCATCAGCAGCATCATCAACATCAACATCATCATCACCACCATCGTCGTCATCAACAACATTGTCGTCAACAACATTATCATCCTCCGCATACTCATTACCATCAGCATCGCCGCCACCAACACCACAATCACCATCATCGTCATCTTCATTATCATCCTTTTTCCCCCTCATCCTCCGTCCTTCCTCATCACCTGCCCAACTGATACTCATCCTCATCCTGATCGTCCGTCCTTCGCCATCCTCATCCTCATCCCCATTCCCCAATTACTTCCTCATCCTCCGTGTTTCCTCCCTCGCGCCTTCATCGAATTCTTAATGCTCCCCCTCCTCCGGGACTCCCTCCTCCGCCCCCGTCCTGCACGGGGGCACCTGGCCAACAGCGCCAAACTCCCCCTGCTCCGCCACCACCCTCCTCTGCCACCTCCCTTCTATTCCCCCTCCCCCGCCCCCTCCCTCTTCCCCCACGGCTTGTGACGCTGGGGACTGACTGCTCTCTGGGGCCATCAACCCTTCGCCGCGCGCCCAAGCATTCACCGTCATGGCGGAAGCACTCCTTCCGAAACTGGGCCCGCCCAGCCGCCCACCAAGGGGGGGCACCTGGCAGCAAGGAGGAACGAAGAGCGGGGACGACACGAGGAAGAGATCGGATGAAGACGAGGAGGAAGAGGAGCAAGAATGGGAGGATGAGGAGGAGGACAGGAAGAAGAGAAAAAAGGGAGGAAGAGGAGAAGACGTCCCCAGAAATCAAGCCAGTTCATACAACGTACACCCTGCTCGACACGACACTCATCCTAACCTACGCAACCATTGCAACACGTCAGCAGCAGCACCAACATCAGCTGACACCACAACAACGCGACACAATCATCAGTACGTCCCCCAGCCTTCCTTCTCCTTAAGATCCGGCGGCGAGCAACCACAGACATCGCGCAGCGACAAGACGTGAGCGTGGCCCGCACCCATACCAAAGCCTCCACCACGCGCCAACTCCAACACCCCAGAATGCATCGGACGGCGGCATCGAACTACGTCAACTTCAACGTCCTCTCGAACCACCTCAACATGGCGGACGCGACGACACATTCTCACCCGCCGACACGTACCCAGGCATGCTCGCCTGCATCCACCGCGAATTCCCAAACTTTCTCCACCCTTTGGGGCGGTTGCGGGCCTACCGGGTACCAGCCGCGGCCTGCCGCACTCACACCCAAGAGCCGAGAAGCACAGATAGCGGGAGGATAAGACCAGCGCAACAAGGAGCGCGAAACTCGCCACGGCCTGCCGCAGAGATTGCAAGATTATGTTGAGGCGGGCCGGTGCTCCGCCAGATAATCGTCACTCTCCGACGATTGAAAACGCTATTTGCTCTGACTGGTCAACTCAAGAGATCCCTTCTCATGGATATTGTAGACGGATGGTTCCTCCGAGTTGTCGCGCGACATGGCGGTAATATCCTGGGGAACGCAAGCACAGGCACGGGCGCCGATGCGCGCCAGGAGACGGGCCCACCTTTTTCCGGGACGCGAGTGCGCCAAGCTCCTTACGATTAAGTTCGTCGAGCTAAAAGCGCACAGCGTCACGCGAATGGATGTTCAAAAGACAAGCGGAGGGAGCGATGGCAACGACTCCTCCCGCGGCGGGCCCCGATGCCACCTCAGACACATGCCAGCCTTCAGCACGCCGCGCCAAGACGCGCCAATCCCAAAAACAAGACGACAGCGCGGCCCATCCGAGTAGCACTTACTCCCGCCGCACAGGCGAAAGCTCGGTCGCTCGACGAAGCTCCAAAGTTCATTCGACAGGCCCGCGAGCACCAGGCGCAGTTCGCTCTGCCGGAACGGCCTTTCCCCACACAGCACGCGTCGACCACGCTAACTTGGAGCCCCCGCCCCTGCCTCGATTCAAACTTGCACTCCGCGAGCTATCAGCCCACTGGTTCGCCCCCGAACTCCACGTTCCAGCGTCGCGGTGAATTCGATTCTGCCACCAATCACCGGCGGACGCCGGAGCCCGAATCGCCACCGGCCCCCAGAAGCATCTCTGTCGCCGCGGCCCAGAGCAAAGCCCCCCCTCTTTCAGCGCCCCTCCCACTGGAATGGCACTTGCCAGCGCGGTCATCCTCGGAGGCGCACGCGCGCCCTCACTTGGCGCTACACTCTTTTGCTGAGTCGGTCCCGCGACCGCGGCCACCCTCGCCAGCCACAGCCTCGGCGCGATCATCGCAGCGCCTACGCGGCGCGCCCCATCTGCGGCAAGACGCATCACCCCACTCACTTCCTCAGGCAACCGGGTTGGAGGCCGCAGTAGCACCGCGGTCCTCCGCAGTAGTTGCCTCCGCGCACGGTCACGCGTCCATCCTGGGCAATTGCGCGGAATTCCCCTGGGCGCCGTCGGCTCGGGCGACGCGGACTATCCCTCGGCGCCCCCCCACCACCAGACCACCCACAAAACACACTCACGCTTAGTAGCCCCACTTCCACAACGCATGCGTTGTCTGTCTTTCACGGGCTGGTTCCAGCCCCTACAATGCGAGCCAACACGAGGACAGCAACAATCGCCAGTCTCCTTCCACACGTCCGAACAACAGCTTCCATCTTGGCACGGGCACCCCGCCTTTCCCCGTCGGGAGTGATTCCGCGACATTACCCGCATCAAATTGTCGACGGGCGCGACCAACATCCTCGACGCCTCAATTACCGCGCACAAAGCGCAGTGCACAAACCGGCCTCTCGCCTTGGAACGCAATGGCCCACATTGTCCACCAAGGCCTGCATTGCCCCATTCCGCAAGAACAAACTCCGAGATCCACGCCGATGCGGCCTCAGAGAAACTCAGTAGCCGCGGCCAAGCTTTTCCTCGCCGCACAGTCACCAGCCCCATGACATTCAGCCGCCGACTGAAGATCAGACACGAAGTCTAGCTTAATCACTTCTTTCCGGCCTGGAAAAACTACGACCCCGAACCAAACATGGCCAATGCCAGGGCACAAACGGAATATCTCCGGAGCGTTTCAGCCAGAGAACGCACTCTACCATTGAAACGTTGCTCGGGATACAACCGAGGGCGCACTCGAGCCTGTCATCTTCGCGCCTCGCCCCAAACGCTCTGGCAGCCCCCCATGCCCCATTTGATGTTCTTCACATAGGGGGGGGGGGGGGGGGCACTCCCTCCAGCGAGCCGCGGGATTCCAGCGCGGTCCAGCTCGACATCTCGCTCTTCGCACACTGCGCCCGACTTGTCGACGAGGTCGGTTTCCTCGGCTTTCTCGGGCGCCAGCAGATCCCAATCGGAAATCGCAGGGCGCCAAACTTTGGACTCACTGGGTCTGGATTGACATCTGTGGGTCGATCCAACTGCAGCGAATTAAGACTGCACCGTGCGCATGAATTTCATAGATGCCCGCGCAAACAACAAGGAACAAGCCAAGGGCTTGCTCCCTGCACTTCAGCAACAAGGCTAGATAGATCATCAACGTCGGGCCTTCATGCCCCATGCCCCCCAAGGAACGCGAACATCGCGAACCGCGAAACGTCGCCCGCAGTCCACGGCGCTCCTTCGTTCGTCCGTCTAGAACATTCGCCCTCTTTGAGCAATGTCCCCCCTCTTGGGCTTCTCTTGCGCGGGCCCTTCCGCCACAGCGTCATCCTCGAGGTCCGCGGCCATGCGATCATCTTCAATTCGATCACCTTCGCTTGCCTGTTCTACCATACCCTCTTGATCTGCAGTCCGCAATGGGACGGGTCGACTTTCGAATGCGCCGAGAACCGAGCATGGCCAACGCAGGGCAGGTCTTTCTGCTACCCGGGCAAAACATCACTCCGGATACGAGTTGTTCAAGGCAGCCACATATGGAGCATGCACCCCCGGCCCACATAACCGCCCCCAACGTGGACAGCGCCCCCAGGCACCTGATTT